ATTAGAGAAAATGATGCGAGACTTCTTGTGAGGTTCTAGCCTTGATATAAAGAAGTTTCACTTGCTAAGGTGGGATAAAGTTTGTACGCTGAAGAAAGAAGAAGGTTTGGGTATAAGAAAGATAAGGGTGTTTAACCAGACACTTTTATGTAAATGGTAGTGGCGAAGTTTACAGTTCAAAAACCATCTTTGGTTTAAAGTACTTTTGGCTAAATATGGGATAGATAGATTCCGAATGTGGTTGGGTAATGGACATGAGAGGGAAGTGTCATAGGTTTGGAAGGTTATCTACAAATGTAGGCTGCTTGTTTCAGAATATTATAGGTGGAATATTGGTTGTGGCAGTCAAGAACTTTTATGGCACCATAAATGGATAGGGGATTACCCAGCCCAATTTGACAGTTAGTGATACTCTAAAAAGAAGGGGTATGCAAACTTCTTGGAATATTTCTCTATCTTATGCCCGGCTGAGCATTGTCCTTCTTTCCCAATGGTGAGCTTTAATGGAAACTTTGGATAAAGCATATGTTGCAGTTAAAGCAGATGATGAAATTATTTGGGAGACCAAAAGTGATGGGATGTTCTTTGTTATATTGTTTCACGATAGGCTGAGATGGTCCAATCCAAAAGTAGCACAAATTTGGAAGTGGCCTATCCCGCATAAGGTGCATGGTTTTATTCGGTTGTATCTCTAAATAAGATTTTAACCATTGACAACTTGACAAAAGGGAAAAAATCTTGCCCAATGTCTGTTTACTGTGTAAAGCTAATGGGAAGTCGGGTGCACACTTGCTTATTCACTGTTTTTTTACAGCACAAATTTGGAACTGGTTGTTTGGCACTCCTAGGGTTCATATGGTGCTTCCTCAATTGGTTGAAGGGATTGTTTGTAAATTCTCCATCGCCCATTTGCCTGTGACAGGTAAATCAATTTGAAAAATCTCTAAAGTTGTCATCCTTTGGGAAACCTAGATGGAGAGGAATAGAAAAACCTTTGAAGGTAACTCCCTACCCTTTGAGAAACTTTTAACCAACATCAAGCACTCGATTTGGTTATGGTTGTCTGTGACAAAAGAAGGGTGGGGGATTTCAAAAGTTGATGTGATGATAAACCTTAGCAGCCTCTTTCTCCTTGGGTGTGCTCGTAGTAGACCACGATATTTTTGGACTGCTCCTTCTGCTGGAAGTATTAAGTTTAACTTTGATGGGAGTTCTCTGGGAAACCCAGGTATTGCTGGAATTGGTGGTGTAGTGCGTGATTCCTTGGGTTCCATGATTCTCTCCTTTGCTGGTCCGATTGGGGACAAAATAGTAAATTATGCTGAATTAAGTGCTCTGTTGTTTGGGGTGAAAATTTTATTTGAGAAGAATCTGAGAACTAATGTTTGGGTTGAAGGGGATTCTTTGAATGTGATTAAGTGGTGCAAAAAAGAATAACCGGTTCCATGAGAGCTCCGTTATCTTTGGTTGCAAATCATGGATTTGGTCGAACTATTTTCTTTTTCCTTCTCCGATGTTTACCTAGACGCAAACTCACTAGCTGACTCTTTGGCTAAGGGAGGTGCTTCGTTGCCTTCGCTTTTGATCTCCTCTGATGTAATATCTTTTAATTAGTCATCAATAACAGTTTTAAACATTTGTCCCAAAGAAAAAAAAAACCTTTAGAGAAAGAAGAGAAGCTTTATGTAAACACAGGAGGCTATGCAATTTTCATTGTATTTTCTTCTCTCTAACTTTCCATATTTATAGGAAAGAAAATAGGCCCAATGTTCCATTTCTCAACAACTTTTTGAGAAACAACCACCCAAATCTTAGTGATGCTTATCGTCATCTCACATGAACTATAAAAAAACTTGAAAAAATAATTATTTATTTTATATATTATTTTTAATAAAATCTTTTAACAACATTAAAACCAGTACCCATAGGATTCCTCCCATAAAAAGAGGTGAGGAAATGTGAGGCCTCATGGACGTACACTGCCAATAGGTTTTGGTATTTTTTAAATCTGATTTGTCTATGACAGCAAATTAGGTTTAAAGTATTAAATTTGTTTCATGGGGGGTGTTTGCCGCAACAAGAAACAATCATCAAATGTTACTGCCAAATTTCTTACATATTTTATGCTGATTTGTTTTTGTTATCAGCCCGAAAAACGTCCATCACCTATTTTTTCCGATCTTTAGTGGGGTCTCATTGACTTTTTTGAAGTATCCTTTTGAGCTATTTGCTCATTACTATAACAATGGCCTCACCTAATGTAATCACCAACATATGTATTATCATGTTTCACAATATAAATTGTTTGAAATGTTGAACCATACTGAACGTTATGCCAAGTTTGAATCTTCAGGTAGTTTTGTTTACCATTCGGTTAGTTTTGAAATAAGGGCATAACATGGTTGTTTTTGTTTTTGCTTTGTTTTTTTTCTTTTTCTTTTTCTTTTTCTTTTTTTTGGAAAAAAGGAGGGTCGGGAGTGTTTTGATGCATTTCCGAATAAATTATGAGTAGCTAGACTTGAACAGATGCTTCTTAGAAGAATTTGTAAACATGGGAGAAAACAATATTGGTTGTGAACTTGTAATTAATGGCCCCTTACTATCTATCAAACTAAGCATATGCTTCTTGGCTTCGTGTTGAAGGGACCTAAACATGTTTAAGATTAACTTTCAAAGTAAAGGGCAAAAAATGACGTGGGTCTACACTGTTAGCAGAAGTCTACCGAACAAATCCTAGTGCTTCTTGGCTTAGGGTGGAAATGGACCTTAGCATATTTATAGTTTAAGCCTGGAAGTTATGGGCAAAAAATGACATACATAATTTAAGGTAAAGAACAGGTATATACAAGTCCTAGGCTTTGCAGTGACGAGTAAATCAATAGCACTATAAAATATTCAAATTGGTCATCTCGATTTAGACAATCATGCATCTAAAAGAAAAAAAAAGAAAAATATCTAAGATCTAAAATCTAAAAGAGGAAAAAAAACCCGATATCTAGGATCTAAAAATAGTGTACTATGATACTTTCCAGATCATCCATTTTTATGTGTTTATAAATATGTTAGATTAGCACCATTTTTAGAGCTCCAAATTTCATAATCAACAGCTGAACAAACTTTCGAGCCATTATAAAAATTTCACCATACAATGTTTGTCCCAATAAAAAATACTACTAAAAATATAAATATAAATAAAAATTGATATTGACAAGCTTTTTATTTTGATATGTCCTTAGATCACACGATGGACATAAGGTTCCACACCGAATCTTATAGACCATGTCACTTGGTGATAGGCAAACATCTTAGTTCTTTTTTTTGGTAAATCTCATTCACCTTACATATCTTTTTCATCCTTCCTTATATCTTTCTTAAGGAGATTAACCTCATTTTTATAAAGGACATATAACTCTGTAATAGCACATTAATGGTCTATATGAGTTGAAATCCGAGTTTAACTCCGGCCTTAATTCTTCTAATGGCAGCTAATTAGTATTAACATGTTGTCATCAATCTATATCCCCCTGTTATGAGTTAAACTTATCATTAGGCTACTAATGTCTTCCCATAATAGAATGTCATCTATGTATCTATTATCTATTATTATATATATAAAGTGAGAGGAGGACCTCTCTTCTTCTTTTTTTCCCAAGAGTTCTTTTTACTTTTTAATTTTGTCTTTTATTTGTTATTTTATTCCTATTTTTTCCCAATAAATTTGTGTCTTCCCAACTTCTATTATATTTATCACTGTTTATTGATATTCCCTCTCTCTTTTTCATTGAAGTTTCTCTCTATCTCTTTCATTGTATTCTCTCTCCTTCGCTCTCTTTCTCTCTCTCTTTCAATTAGTCAAATTTTTATTTATTTCCCTTAACCCCATATTATGGAATAATTACTCTCTCTCTACAGTTTTACATGCAAATCTTTTATTTTTTGTTTCTTTTCAATCGATTTTCTCTCTCTCTCTAAGTAGTTATAGATAGTCACATTTATTTCCCTTAACTCCTATATTTATGGAATGATTACTTTTCTGTTTTTCTCCATTTTCCCTCTTAACAGATTTACATGTAAATTATTTATTTATCTTAATTTTATATATTTCCATTTGGGTCATTCTATTTCCATAAATCTCTTTCTCTCTCTCTCTCAATCAATGTGGCCTCTCTCTCTCTTGGTGGTTTACGCAAGCTAGCAGTGCACAAATACCTAATCCATCCATTTCCTAAGCTTTGAGGTTCTCTGGAATTCTATTGGGCAAATTTTTTTAATAGGTAATTTCCTCAATCTCCATGTGATTCTTGTCTGTCCATTTTTTTTTTTTATATAAGAAGTAATACGCGTACAAGGCATTTTTATACCCAACGACGGTTTAGCATTTTCCTCTTAGCCCCGAATTTCTATTATTCTTATTTTATTTATTAGTATTAGAATGGATTTAATTTTTTCCCTATTGATTATTTTCGTCTTAGTTTTTTTAAAAAAATTTGTTGGATTTTAAATCTGAAATTTTCCTTATATTCAATTTGCTAATATTTTACATGAAAAAATTTACCAAAATAACCCCCCTAAATATTTCGAAGGTATTTTGATGAATTTATTTTTCATGAAGAATTGTTTTTATATTTTTATTAGATGCGCCTTAGTAAAATGTATATACCCTCTAAATTTCAGATCATTCCGATTTGTAAAATAAAATAAAAATAAAACAGTACCAGACAATCGTAATCATACGATGAAATTTAAACGATAATGAGGATAAACGAAATTACTATTCATTTTGACCGGTAAGAAAAACAAATTCATACATGAAAAAAATAAAAAAAATAAAAAAATTAAAAAAAATTAAAAAAACCTTCCGAACTCCTACAGGCGAGAAAGGACAATGTTTTTTTTGCCTCCCACATAATCATCGTCCGTTTATTTTTAAGGAAACGTAGGGCATGGATCCACTTTAAAAACCCAGGCGCGAAAACAAATATCAGTTGAAAAGCTTCAAAGCTAAGGCAATATCAACGCTACCCTCTCCTCCCGCATGCTCTGTGAACCAGGGACTTCCTCTGCGAAGCTCCTTCTCTCTCGCTCGCGTTCGGCTCTCCTGGCGGCTGACTCTCTACCTCCTCTCTCAATAAACTTTCAGGTGCTCTCCCGCATTCATTCGCTTGGAGTAATATGTCTCTGCTGGCATATCAAGGAGCCGCTGAGAAACAGGAAAACCGAAGACGAATCAGGATTAGGGCACTGAAATCGGTGAGTAACCAAAGTTTTATTTGATTTATAGTCTGTAAATCACCATAAAAAACCTAAATTTGATTAGAAAATTTTATTTTCTGAGTAAAATAAAACCCCATATCCCTGCTGAAATTTCAACTCATTTTTCTCTCATTTTCACTGCTGAAATCGCCTGCATCTGTCCTCATTTGTATGATAATCTTTGCTCGAACGTGTCCACAATCTCTGAATAAACAACAATCCCAAATCAAGAATAAAATCCTTCTTTTAAAAAAAATCAACTCAAAATTTTTAGTAGATCCCAAATTGAAGAGTTACAAAAAAACCCTACGTTTTTCCCTAATAAATCATAAAAAATGGGATAGGAAATCAATCATAAAAAATGGAAGAGAAACCTACATATGGGAGAGAAAATTTTTGCGTTGGGTTAATAATAATTAGGTGATTTCAATTTATGACAGTGAAATCAAACCCTATCACGAATAAACACCAATATTTTTCTTTAATGTCTAAATTAATGCCAAAGTTGTGATTAGATCTCAAAATAGAATTTGTGAATGAAGACGTTTGTTTCCCAGTGCTAGATGCAAAATAAATGTGTAGAAAAAAAAAAATACTCAATAAATCACTGTAGAAAATGCTTAAAAAGGTATATGAGGGAGAGAGAATAATTTTTAGGACTTTATGCATTCATTTGAATGAGATCATTGCTATCAAGGGTTTAGATATTGAGAATATAATTTGGTATGCCTTTTGGCCTTATACCTCATTACATTTAATGAACAATAGGTCTCTCATTTTTATCTTTTTTTTTTGGGAGTATTCGTGTTTGACCTTATTTATCTTTTTAATTTATAAAATCCATCAAGGAATTGTTGTTAATTAGCTAAATTTTCTGAGTTGATGTGTTATTACTATCATTAGTATTCCTTTTCGAATGGAATTTAGTGTTTTTTACATTTTTTTATTTTACGGGCATGGAATTGTTCGTTTTCAGACTCTTTGCTTAGGTTATGGTATTTAGTCTTGAACACGTGGGGATAGAGACTAGCACATATATTTCATGTTTACTTTTGCTTAAGATTCAAGGTAGCTGAACAATCACAAACGAATGACAAGCTATTACTGTAACTTATGCGAAAGACATGGTTCAATATTTGGAGGCCATGATCTGAGATTTGTAAGACTGTTTTTGCTTGCTTTTGTTATGGCTGGTTCAATAATCATGTTTTTATTACTGCTGATTTTTTAGCCAAGGATGCAGTATGTATTTATTTCAATCTTCAGTGCACCCCATCTATTTATTTTGGCATTTTTTATTTCAGTGGGTCTCAGATCCAGGGAGACTAATATTAGTAATGCAGCTAATGTTTTTATTGAAGTGAATGTGGGGATTATTTATTGGGGCATTTTCACTTAATGGTAACTTTTCTTAGTGGATCATGCTCAGGTTTGGATCTTATGATGGAGCTTTAGAGTTCACTTTTGGGTTCTCTGAAGTATTTTTCTTTAGTTTTAAAGTGAATGTGGGGATTATTTACAGTGGATCCTGCACTGCTTTGGACCCCAAGATCCAAATTTTGATTTTTTTTTTTTTTTGCCGTTTTAGTTTCTGGTTTAATCTTAAGTATTGTGTTCGCTTTTTTTAATGAAGTTATTTCATTGATAATTGATCATAGCGATTGGATCATACACTAGAATAAGTGTTAAGAGTAAAATTAAGAATTTTTGCAAGCTGATATAGTGTGCATTATGTTAATTTTAAGCTTCTTACAGCATGTCTTTTGTATTTTGTTTTTATACTATGACTTGGAGATCTTTTCCAGTTTGGGTTTGAAAGGACATTTTATAGTTCTTCTCCAGATTTCTTGCATGATTGTTCTGTTGATTGTAAATGTTTAAATGGGTTTCAGTAATTTATGTGTTGAATTACTATCATTATTATTATTTGCATGGGTACAAATTATTATTTCCACTATTTGTTGAGGACGACAATCTTAACAGCTCTTGTGCTGATTTTATTTTTCTAAAAAAATTTAGATATTGTTTACTTTCTAACTCTTGATGAATTTATTGAGTTGGGAAATGGATGTAGAAGATTTGGGTTTGGGGAATGTATTATAGCATTTGATGAAGTGAATTCATGTTTTTTTATTGTAGGTTGTAAGAGGCTTCTTGTGATTTCTGGTTTGTTTTGGCACAATGGGTAAATCTCCGGCCAAATGGCTAAAAACATTTCTTTTTGGCAAAAAAAACCTCCAGATCTCATGCTTCGAAAGGAGCTTCGATAAGTTAATCATGGCTTTGTGTGCCTAGTTATTTTGATGATTTTTGGTATGGTTTTTTTTGTTTCTTATGTCAAATCCTCTCATGCCTATGTGGATGTGTCCATCGCCTTGTGAAACCTATTTTTATTTTTTTTCTTCCATTTTCTTCTTGGTATTCAGATTTATGCATTTCTTCTCGACTCACAGATTATGATGGAATTCTAATTAAGTAGCATGATGGAATGATGGAATTCTGCTTAAGTAACATTATTTCGTCGGATATCCTCAATTGACATGAACCATCTCTACCTTTCAAGCATCTATATATGTTGGTGCAAATGTTTGTATGTGTGTTTGCATCTGTATTTGTGCATGTGAGATGATGCTTAGGAGTGTGTAGGGAGGTCATAACATGCAGGTGTATATGTCCATGTGTACCAGTATTGTCCTGTGCAGTCAGATGACTGTTTCTTGTTTGAATTAATATTAACAAGCATATTGAGCTCAGATAAGCTCTGAAGACTCTCAGTTCATGAAAGTAGAAATACACGAAAGTAGAAGTATACGTCACATGGAGAAGTTCATCACACATTCAGTCTCATTCTCAGAGATCAAAGAAACTTTTGAATACATGCTCAATAAAACTTTTGCACAGTGGGTCACAGACCGAAGGTGCAGGAAGCATACGTTTGACCCCTTATTTTAGGAGCCCAAAAAATATAAATGAGAATAGATTACAAAATGTTCTTTTTTCTTTTGGACAACATTAAATTCTCAGTCAACTGCTTTGAGCATCATGCTGATAATATTTGATCTTCAAAATTCAGCTGTAATGCAACCTATTTTCTTGTGATATTGAATAATACTCGGATGTCACTACTTTCATCGTAAATGAGGCAAAATTCGAAGATATTGTGAGGTGTCTTAGCTGGTCTGTTAAAGATTTGAGATCCATAGAGAGGTGTCTTAGCTAGTCAGTTAAAGATTAAATATCTTAGGTGGTCTATTGAAGATTTGATCAATTTTGAAGTATTTTGGGACCGGGTTTTTACTTATTCTAGTGGGATGTGCAGCACACCTTTTATGATCATAAACATTATATGCTCTTGTGATATATTGCTTGATCTTGTATATTAGTTTGGCTCCTCTTGTGATTTTGATTTAGATCAATAGAATCACTTTTTTGAAAGTATGTTTGCCTTTAATTTTCTGTATATGTATTTATGTATACTTTTGATTACATAAGATACAAAAATTTTGATTGAACACTGTTATTGTTTGGAATTTTGTTATTAGGGGTGGGGTGTAACTGCGCTTGTTGGGGTTTTGACTAGGATGCGGTGTTCAAGACACACCCCATGAATGTGCTCAATGAAAGGACTCTCAAAGAAACATTCTTTGGAAACTATAAGACACATTATGATCTTCCATCTGTTGTCGACAAATACATGAAGAAGGTATACATCACATGGAGAAGTTCATCACACATTCGGTCCCATTCTCAGAGATCAATAAGGCTTTTGAATACATGCTCAAAGGAGACGACATTTGCTGCATCATTTGAATGAAACTTGAAGAAGCAAAAAGAAAAATATTACTTGTTGTTTGAGTTAGCTCAATTGGGCTACCTTTATTGAAGCTTCATTTGTATCATATTTTTTCCTATTTTATAAGGTGTTTAACCTCTTTGTATCTTTCTAGTGGTTTGTAAATGATCGTAATTGATCGTTGTTGGTAATCTTTTGTTAATGAAATTCTCTGATTTTTGGTATTATTCAATTTGTCATTTTTTTTTTTAAGACACAGACACACATAGAAAGGGAGAGAGATTTGGTTATTAGCTACAATAAAACAATATAAGCATTTATTTGGTCGAGACAAGAGAGAGATCATTAAATTCGAGACCTATGAGAGAGTTGGTTATCCAAACCAGGTCTGCGATAGTTATAAAGATATTTTGTGTACATATTATAATAATCATAAACTTCATCTTCGTAACTAAATGCCACTCCGATTGCGGGTTCAATACTTGCACCTCTTGATAGATCTGCCTCTGCATCTATAAGTATAAGATCTCCTTTACTAAATATTGCAACTATGAATCTTGACTTCACTAAACTTTGAAGGTCTTTTATCTCAAAGAATATTATTTTATTCCAAAATATTTGTTGTCAAAAAATAAATTTCTATTAGTTATGGTGATGTTTCAAAAATAATGCTTGTGAGAATCAAAAATTAATTTCCAAGAGGGTATACCCTTCAAGAGGGTTTTGATAAGTGCTAAGCTATGGCATCTTTGAAGTCATTAGTGCAATTAGATACATATTAGTCCTCACCCAAAGGCATCAGTGTAATAAAATTTTATGAATTTAACAAATATTCAACATACTAAATAAAATGGGAATTATCTAGATATAAATACATTTCACTATCCATGTAAAACCACATTGCATATATAAATGTCATACATGAAAAAATCTTTACAAAAAAGCATTTTACATGCCCTATAAATAGGTCACATTCAAGTAAACCCACATTTCATTATAAATGGATTCCACTATCCATAAATCGGACCTTTACATGACCCCAAAAATAGGTCCTTTACATGACCCCAAAATAGGCCCTTTAAATGCCCCCATAATTAGGTCCTTTACATACCCCATAAATAGGTCATTTACATGGCCCACAAATAGGTCATTTACATAGCCCTTAAATTATATGACTATTCAATATTCACACAAATTCGAAAGTGAATTACAAAAAAGGTATTTACATATCTCCAAAATTTCAAAAATTAATCAATACAAAAAATCCTTTGTGTATATGTGCAAATGAAGCCTTGCAAGTTGTCATATTCTCCATGTGAAAGCAATCTGGCTATTTGTCATATCCTCCATGCAATTGCAACCCCTTCATCTGTCATGGCCTCAACTCGATTCGAGGTCCTTATTGGCTCTGTAAGATAAAGATATATTGTCAGGCATAAATGAAAACTAAAACTAAATAAAGACAATTATGTTTATTATATCCAAAACATATAGCAAACAATCACTTACATCCCACAATCAAAAGCAAGTAGGAGAACATATAAATAGGACAGAACAATCATACTTCAAAAAAACAAAAAAGAAAAATGATATCAGGAATACCTACAAAAATTGCCTTCTAATGTACATTGAAAGCATAATTACAAGTTCAAAGGTAAAAATGACAACATTGCAAAGATTTTCAAGAAAGAGTCTGAAAATGAACAACTTCATACCCCTATAATAATAAAAAGGTAAAAATCTAAAAGAAAAAAAAAAAAATTTGAATTTCATTGGAAGAAGAACAAAATAGTACTATTGATAATAATATCAACCTAGATAATTTAGCTTAATTAACAACAACTCCATGATGGATGGATGATTTACCCAAAAAAAATTCCTTGCTCTCTTGCAATTCAACATCGTGATCAAGCTCTCTTGCTCAACAATCGCATGCTGAAATATCATCAAACAACATATGGATCATGTCCAATAAACCTAATGTCCCAGTAGGTAAAAGAAAACTTACATCAACTTGAACGCAGATATGATAAAGTCCACATACCACAATTGCCAAGTTACAACAATGCACAAAAGGTAAAAGAAAACTTACATCAAACAACTACCAATAACATGACGACTATAAGAACATAATTCCAGGTGAGATGGCAATTTAAATAGTGGTTTACAGTCATGTCCCTGACAGGCTTAGTTAGTCTCTTGCAAAACAGAAAGCATGCAGCTAATTAGAAAGGCATGCCTTGTATCGACTGAAACTAGAGTATGGACCATTGTAAAACCAAAATAGAGGCTCTCAATTGCAGTTTTCAAATGTACCATTTTAAAACAACATGAATTCACTTCAACATTTGCTATAATACATGCCACAAATCCAAATCTTCTACATCCATTTCCCAACTCATTAAAATTCATCAAGAGTTAGAAAGTAAAGAATACCTAATTTTTTTCAGAAAAAATAAAATCAGCACAAGAGCTGTTAAGATTGTCGTCCTCAACAAATAGTGGAAATAATAATTTGTACCCATGCAAATAATAATAATGATAGTAATTCAACACATAAATTTCCACTGAAACCCATTTCTATATTTACAAGCAACAGAACAATCATGCAAGAAATCTGGAGAAGAACTATAACATGTCCACTCAAAACCCAAACTGGAAAAGATCTTCAAGTTATAGTACAAAAACAAAATACAAAAAACATGTTGTAAAAAGCTTAAAATGAACATAACGCACACTATATCAGCTTGCAAAAATTGTTAATTTCACTCTTAACACCTATTCTAGTGTATGATCCAATCGCTATGATCAATTATCAATAAAATAACTCCATTAAAAAAATTGAACACAATACTTAAGCAAAAACCAGAAACTAAAACGGAAAAAAAAAGAAAGAAAAAAATCAAAATATGGATCTCAAGGTCCATAGCAGTGCCTGATCCACTGTAAATAATCCCCACATTCACTTTAAAACTAAAGAAAAATACTTCAGAGAGCCCAAAAGTGAACCCTAAAGCTCCATTATAAGATCCAAACCAGAGCGTGATCCACTAAGAAAAGTTACCATTGAGTGAAATGCCCCAATAAATAATCGCCACATTCACTTCAATAAAACATTAGCTGCATTACTAATATTAGTCTCCTTGGATCTGAGACCCGCTGAAATAAAAGTGCCAAAATAAATAGATGGGGTGCACTGAAGATTGAAAGAAATACATACTGCATCCTTGGCTAAAAAATCAGCAGCAATAAAAACATGATTATTGAACCAGCCATAACATAAGCAAGCAAACACAGTCTTACAAAAATCAGATCCTGGCCTCCAAATATTGAACCATGTCTTTGGCATAAGTTACAGTAATGGCTTGTACACGCTATCATTCGTTTGAGATTGTTCAGCCAACTTGAATCTTGAGCGAAAGCAAACACGAATTGTATGTGCAAGTCTCTGTCCCCATGTGTTCAAGACTAGCTACCTTCTAAGCAAAGAGACTGAAAATGAACAATTCCATACCCCTAAAATAAAAAAAGGTAAAAAACACTAAATTCCATTCGAAAAGGAATGCTAATGATAGTAATAACACATCAACTAGGAAAATTTAGCTAATTAACAACAATTCCTTGGTGGATTTTATAAATTAAAAATATAAATAAGATCAAACACGAATACTCCCAAAAAAAAAAAAAATGAGAACTATTGGTCATTAATGTAATGAGGTATAAGACCAAAAGGCTCACCAAATTACTGTTCGTATTCTCAAAATCCAAAACCTTGATAGCAATGATCTCATTCAAACGAATGCACAATGTCCTAAAAAATATTCTCTCTACCATATATACCATTTTAAGCATTTTCTAAGTGATTTATTGAGTAATTTTTTTTTTACTCACTTATTTTGCATCTAGCATTGTGAAACAGAGGCCTTCAATCACAAATTCTATTTTGAGATCTAATCACAAACTTTGGCATTAATTTAGACATTAAAGAAAAATATTGGTGTTTATTCGTGATAAGGGTTCAATTTCACAGTCATAAATTGAAATCACCTAATTTATTATGAACGCAACCCAAAATTTTCTCTCCCATATGTAGTTTTCTCTTCCATTTTTTATGATTGATTTCTTATCCCGTTTTTGGTGATTTATTAGGGGAAAACATAGGGTTTTTTTGGAACTCTTCAATTTGGGATCTACTAAAAATTTTGAGTTATATTTTTTAAAATAAGGGTTTTATTCTTGATTTGGGATTCTTGTTTATTCCGAGATTGTGGCCTCGTTCCACCAAACATCCTCATACAAATGAGGATAGATACATGCAATTTTAGCAGTGAAAAAATGATGGAAACATGAGTTGAAATTTCAGCAGGGATATGGGGTTTTATTTTACTCAGAAATAAAATTTTCAAATCAAATTTAGGTTTTTTATGATGATTTACAAAATATAAATCAAATAAAACTTTGGTTACTCACTGATTTCAGTGCCCTAATCCTGAGTCGTCTTCGGTTTTCCTGTTTCTCAACGTGCTCCTTGATATGCCAGTAGACCACATTACTCTGAGCGAATGAATGAGGAGGGAGAGCACCTGAAAAGTTATTGAGAGAGGAGGCAGAGGGTCAGCCGCTAGGAGACCCGAAGGCGAGCAAGAGAGGAGCTTCGCAGAGGAAGTCTCTAGTTCATAGAGCACGTGGGAGGAGAGGGTAGTGTTGATATTGCCTTTTTCGCGCCTGGGTTTTTAAAATGGATCGGGGCCCTACGTTTGCTTTAAAACAATGGTTTAAAAAACGGATCGGTGACCCGGATCTGGCTTCTAAAAAACAGATCCGCATCGGCGAATCGGCGATTCGGATCGAGAATCAGGTGAATCGGTAAGAATAAAGCTTAAAAAAAATTCGAAAAAATTATGAAAATTCATTATAAATATTGTTTTTTAGGAATTCAATAAAAAATGAGGGTACTCCATTAAGAATTTTCATGTTTTTGAATGAATATACGAATATTGATATGTTCTTTCCCTGCATGAACCGCCATTCAGCATTTAATTTACAGTATTTCGTGCTCATCCCTACG